GGGAGGCTGTGAAGTGTTCTTGGTAGAAGTTAGTACATTGAAGCATTAGTCTTGATATATTCATATAGAGAACAAATACTTAAAAAGTGCATATCACTGAGTTTTTTTTTTAAATAGTCTTCTTTATAAAACAATTGGATACTTTTTCACTTCATTGTCACCACAAGAGGGTGGCTATAATCTGTTCTTGGTCAAATAGTTATATTTAAAATCAGTTAATTAAAGCCTTTATAGTATTGAATTATGTTTCTTTTTAACTGATGTTGCTGTAAAATATTTACTTTTATATCACAAATTGTGATTCTAATTTCATGTCTCAGTAATTTCAGGAATCCTCTTTGTTTATCAAACTTTTAATATCCCTTGAAAACAGTTGTAGTTGCAGCCGTTGCACCACATGAGGGCGACAAGAAACTGCTCCTGTCATTATTTATGTTTTTAAATGAAGAAATTGAAGCCCATATAGTGCCTTTTATTTGATAAATTCTGTTTTTAATTACATCCGGGGAAATGTCCCTAAATATTTATTTTTGTATTTGTATTTATTTTAGATATATTTTCTGTATTTATGATAGATATATTTGGAAAAAGTAACAAATTCTTTAGATTGTTAGCCTTGATTTCTTACTAATCACAAACTATTGTAGTTGCTCATTGTCACCACAAGAGGGAGACTGTAAACTGTTTTTGGTTAAATTGTTTTATTTATAATTCGTAAATTAAAGCCTTTATAATATACAGTTGTTTTTGCTTTTTTCATTTTATATTGCTGTACAATATTTACTTTTATATCACAAATTGTGTGTGTATTTACAATGGTGTATTTTCACGAATCCTCTTTATTTACCAAACTTTTAGTATTCCTCGTAAACAGTTGTAGTTGCAACCTTTGCGCCACAAGAGGGCGACAAAGAACTGTTCCTGTTAGAATTGATTTATTTAAAACGAGTAAATTGAAGCCCCTGTGGGACAAAACTGGTTTTTATATGGTTATATAACAAAACAAATATTTGAAAGTGCACATTAAAAATAAAAATGTCCCTAAATATTTATTTTGGTTTTTATATTTATTTTAGATATATTTGCTATATATATATATATATATATATATATATATATATATATATATATATAAAGGAAATACATTCTTTAGATACCTTAGTCTTGATTCTTACTAAAACAATCTGATGTAGTTCTTCATTGTCACCACAAGAGGGAAGCTATAAACTGTTCTTGGTCAAATTAAAATTTGTTAATTAAAGCCTTCATAGAATACAGTTTTTGGGCTTAATAAGATTTTATTTTACTGTATTATATTTATTTTTATATCACAAAGTGTGATTTTAATTACATCTGTCAGTTTTTCAGGAATATTCTTTATTTTCCAAACATTTAGTATGTCTTGTAAACAGTTGCACCACAAGAGGGCGACATGACACTGATCTTGCTAGAAATTATTTGTATAAAATGAGTAAATTGAAGCCCTTTTAGTACAAAATGGGTTTTTATATGGTTATATAGAATATATCCCTATTCTATATATAGACAATATTTGTGCTTATTACACATAAAAAAGAAAATGTCCCTAAATATTTTTTTTTGTTTGTTGTTATATTTATTTTAGACACTGTTTCTATTTTTATAAAATATATAGTTGGAGGAAAAGAAACATAATTAGGAAACAAATTCTTTAGATATATTAGCCTTAATTCTTACTAATCACAAACTGTTGTAGTTCCTTGTTGTCACCACAAGAGGGAGACTGTGAATTGTTCTTGGTAGAAGTTAGTACATTGAAGGGTTTGTATTAGATTTTATTTAATCATATAGAGAACAAACACTTAAAAGTGCATATCACTGAGGTTTGTTTTTTAATATTCCTCTATATCAAACAACTGGAAACTTTTTCACATTTGTGTTTCTCCTCTTTTTCTTTCTTAATCTAGTTTTTTATGTACAATTTTCTGGTATATTATGTCATTATTCATAAAACTGGAGTTGAAATCATACCCATGAAGAGTTACAAACTAAAACCTGGTTAATCAAATCAATATCTTTTTAGTTTTGTTCTCTGGCGGTCACAAAAAGATTATTAGATCACTACATACACACCTATTTGAAACAGAAGAAAATAGTTGACTTAAATGTTAGATATAAACCTTGGTAATCACAACTTGTGTAATTTAAAATTGTAAATTGACTCCACACCTCTTTTGAGTTTTTGCCTCATCATGTTTAACCATTTTTGCTTATGTTCTGCTTTGTCATTTGAAGCTGCTGCCTGTTCAAAACATGACACAGAGGTATCACTTCCCCCTTCACTCGGCTGCTGCTACAAGAGGATGGTATAAAAAGAGGACTGACCATTGCAGTCTTCACACAGAGGAGATTACTTCTGCTTACGGACAGAACTGAGGACTGCAGATAACCTATTGTAAGTATATTTTACTTAATTGATTGTAATTGCTTTTAATGAGCTATATAAACAGCTTAATGTTATCTGCTTAGATGGAGACCTTGAAGAGTGCAAGGAAAGAGGACTCTGGTGAAACTGGCAGGTATTGTATTGTTTGAACTAATTCTTAAAAGTTTTTTGTAAGGATTTAGTAAAATAGAAGATAAGTAATTGTAATTTTTGTTTTTCTTTTGTCCGTTCTTCAGTGACTTATCTGAACAGATCAAAGCCGCCACTAAAGAAAACCATGTCAGAGCTGAAAACACACAGCTGATGCTTAGTTACCAGAAGGGACAGATTACTCTGCCACAATACAAGGTAAGGTGATCATACTGAAAGATTAGAATCTTTCTCTTGGTTTATCTTCCTTCACGTCCTCCTAAAAATGAATATATTTCCCTAATGTCCCCTCCAGGTCCTGCTGTGTTCCCTCTATGAGATCTACAAGGCTCTGGAAGAAGAGCTGGACAGGAATTCGTCTCATCCTGCCGTGGCGCCCATTTACTTCCCTCAGGAACTCGCACGGTTGGAATCCATTGAAAGGGATCTGGAGTATTTTTTTGGCCCGAACTGGAGGAACCAAGTGATAGTCCCTGCAGCTACACACAGATATGAACAGAGACTGAGAAAGGTGGGTAAAAACTGTAGGATAGTTGAAAAAAGGTAACAGCATCATTAGGGAGGTGTTTTCTGGCAGTTTTAAAAGTTGCATGACAGCATGTGGATGGGATCGATTTATATTAATACAGTTTTCAGGTGGAATGGTAAAAGGTTTTTCTTTATTAATCAGAGTCCAGGAAAAATCAAAACCCATTACTAGCTAAGCAAATGAAAAACTTCACCATTATAAGCAATGTGTTGTTTTTCTTTTCTATATCTTAGTATTCAAAATAAAAAAACGTATGCAGAATAGTGAAAGGTTTTACTATTCTGAATACAGCTTAGTGCCTCCCCTTAGGCTGTGCTACCCTGGGCAGAGAGCCACATTGCAGGGATCAACAGGTTTCCACTAAAAAAACTGAAAGAACAATGCATTATGCTCTATGAATTCTAACTATACAGTTTTATATTTTTCCAACTATACATTTGGAGTTAAATAATCACATGACACCCTCTGTTGAAAAACGACTTAAAAAAGAAACCAAAATGTTAAAATGTAATCAAAACACCCTTCAGAAAGGTAAACCTATTATTAGTTGCAAATAGCTAATTCAACCATCATTACCTGTTCACGGCAATGTTCGATAGGAAACTGTTTTTTGTTTTTTACATTATTTCCAAGACTCTAAAGACCCTAATGGCCTTAATTTAGAAATTACACAAATAACAAAGGTAAGAAAGGCCACCACTTAAACCTGTGACAACCAGTGTATGGGTCATGCGCATCACCTAAAAAGTTTGGGTTTTTTTAGGACTACAAGCTGTACAATAAAACTATTAGAAATACATCAGATATTATTTCACACCCAAATGCTCCATTTAGAAAATCCATTCCTCAATTCTACCCCAGATAGTTACAATGAATGCTTAAATTTTGCACCAAATTAACACACACACACACACACACACCTATATATACATAATTTACTATTCAAAGCAACAATAGGATATTGAAAAAAAAAATGTTTTTTTATGCTGCTAAGATAACAACAGCATTTATGTCTTCATAGAGAACCTATAAGCACTTAGGACTGACATTTTCCTAAAAGGTTTTTTTCTTAAAATGTTTTCCTGTAGAGAAGCTATAAGCTTCTTATGTGATTTCACAACAGTGACTATTTTATAAACACTATTCCCCTTTATACTGGAGAATACCCCTCTAGTCCTTAGTTTAGCCTTTTATTTGTATTTTAATTTATTGTATACTTATCCTCCTTTTACTTTTTATCTGTGCTGTTATTTTTGTGATTGAAATATTTTTCATATTTGGACATAACAATGAATGTAGCTGGGGTTTTGGTCCTGTCTTTAGATTGGGAAAGAGAAGCCTGAGCTGCTGGTTTCCCATGCCTACACCCGCTACCTTGGCGACCTGTCAGGCGGACAAGTGTTGGGGAAAATCACCCAGAAATCTTTGGGCCTGAGCAGCAAAGAAGGGCTGTCGTTCTTCTCCTTCCCTGGTGTTAGCAGCCCCAACCGCTTCAAGCAGCTGTACAGGAGCCGCATGAACAGCGTGGAGCTGACTGAGGAGGCCAGGGCGGCGGTGCTGGAGGAGGCCGTGGCGGCCTTCGAATTAAACATCCAGGTGAGGAGACAGATTTCCAGGTGGGGTCAATAGTTTAATGACGGCGGACAGATTAAGCAATCACATCAGATTAGGCAAACAGGAAGTGAAACTCTCTGCCTGCAGAGCAAGCAGTGTCCAACTTGCTGAGTTCAACTAACATACATTTTATTTCCTTCTAGGTTTTTGATGACTTGCAGAAAATGCTGAGCATCACATCTGAAACGGACCAATCAAACGGCCACTCGGCCAATACCAGGTTCTCAGGGTACCCCATCCTGCAGTTCACAGTGGGACTTTGCGTTGCCCTGGCAACTGTTGGAGCTGGGATGTATGCAATGTAGAAATGGGGCTTTAATCCTCCAAAAGCACATGGAGCACTTTACAAACTGAGGAAATCAAGATTAAGGTCTTAACTTTAGCTGTACAGCAGAACTGGAACTTAGAGCTTGTTTTGCAAAATGATAAGCAGGGGAGTTTTTTTCTTTTATATGAACAAGTCAAATGTATTTTTGGGGGGGAATTTTATGTGATTTATTGACTCAAAGCAACATATGTAAGAAACTCTGAAACTAAAAAAATGATGCATGTCTTTTTAAATTTGTTCAAAAATAAACATTTGTAAAAAGATGTGCAATTCCATCACTGCTTTCATCTGTGCCTTACGCATATCACAACCAGTCCTACACATCGAGTCTATCTTTTCCCTCCCCAGTCTCAGTAATTCTGACTTTTTTAATTAACCAGAATCCTTTTGCAGCTTATGCAGTTAAATAATTGTTCTGTTTGTAGGTCTTCACCAGGTTTCCCTCCCCTTTAACTTAGACCACCCTTTGTCACAGAACACTAGAATAGCCACAGCATGATGCAGCCACTGCCATACTTTCCCTCACAAAGTGTTTCTGCCTCTACATCACTCCTCGCAAATAAACAGGACTTCTTTTCGCATTTCATTGCAAGTTCTGGTTTATTGTGCAAATTTAAACTTAATTTAAGGGGTTTAAATATGCTCACAGCACACTTTATGGACACTTATAATTAGGGATAACTGCTTAAAAAATTAAATAAAGCAGTTTCTGAAATCAGTGGTGTTTACAATTTATTTTTATTTGTTTAAACAGCATCTCCACCAAAACAGTTACATTTTTATTCCATCATTTCAGAACCAAAGTGTGTTACATTTTTTTATTATTTTTTTTTATCCATCTTCAAATATCAAACACAGACCAAAAATAACTATTTACATGAACAAATATAAGAGAGAGAAAATCAAATGAGTGATGAGTTGTTTTCGATTAACTCCACAGTTTCAATGTCAGAATTTTGCCAAAAGGGAAAGAAAAAAATTAAATACATGAGCACTTTCTCTACTTGAGCATTTTGAGCATTTGAAGCAGGCAGATTCTGGACCCCCAGATGCTAATATGTATGCATTTTTCACAAATGAGCTCAAACATATTTATTGAATGCTTTCCAAAATACACTGATATTTATATTTATTGTTAGTTAGAAATTAGTGTATTAAAAAAGAAAGACGTATAACAGTCGATTTCAATAACAGCAATATATAATGCCTCCCTAGTATGCACACAATTTCAGTTTCATTCATCCATCAATTCATCCAGAAAAATGCAGATTGATTGTTTTCCCTTTCAGCTACATTAGTGAATATCCTCCTTTAAAAGCAGCAAAATCAAATGTAGAAATTTTCCCACATGTTGCCAAATTCTGTTCATTGAAATTCTTGGTGGGGACGTCCACACCAGTCCTTCAGAAAGTAACGCCTGTGACATGCATAAATGCAGATATGTCCAAAGTCAGTCCTCGAGGGCCGCTGTCCTGCAGATGTTTCTCTAATCCAGCACAGCCGATTTCCACTGATAGCTGATTTACAGGCTTTTGCTGAAATGCAATCATCAGAATCAGCTGTGCTAAACAAGAAAACCTTTAAAAGCCGCGGGACAGCGGCCATCGAAGACCGACTTTAAGCATACCTCAATAAGTGCATGCTCCTCTGCACCTGTGGCCAAACTTTTCAGGCATCTGTATCACCTCTCCTTTGTACGTCGATCTATTTCGGTCAACTTTTCTCACCTTGAGGATAATAACCTCTGTAGAAAAGTAAACCACCTGTGATTGCCTACATTTTTCAGCATGGGCGTAGGTTTGCATAGGGACCATAGGGACATGTCCCTACCAAAATTTTGGACGGACC